TTTTTCTTGATAGGGATGTTCTCTATAAAAAAGGTCGAGATCAGGTGTATTGAGATGTGTAAATGCAATTAAGGCAAAGAAGATTCTTGAAGAGGTACATGATAGAATATGTAGGGCATATACGAATAGACATATAATAGCTAGATAGATTATGAGGGCTAGGTGTTATTGGTTAACAATAAAAAATAATTACATTGATTATGCTCGAAAATGTCATAAATGACAAATCTATACTAACAAGATCCACGCTCCACCCATTACTTTACATGTTTTGGCATTACCCTGGTCATTTTTTATGTAGGGCATGGATGTTATTGATCCTATCATCTCGGAGGCCTCAAATGGGCATAGATTCATTTTTGTGATAATGGATTACTTCATAAAATGGGTAGAGACAGCCTCATATAGAAATGTGACATGATTCATAGTTTGTAAATTTATAAAAAGAGATATTATATGTAGATATAATATCTTAGAGAGGATCATTTCATATAATGTCAATAACCTTAATAGTAAGATGATTGAAGACATATATGCCAAATTCAAGATCAAACATGATAACTTTACACCATATTGTACAAAGATGAATGGTACAGTAAAAGCAACAAATAAGAATATTAAAAAAATTATTGAGAAGATGATCCAGACATATAGAGACTAGCATGAGAAATTATCTTTTGCTTTATATGCTTATTAGACATTAATACGTACCTCTACCGAGACAATCCATTTTTCTTGATTTATGGAATGGAAATTGCATTGCCAGTGAAAGTAAAAATCTTATTTTTGAGAGTCATAATAGAAGTTGGATTTAAAGAAGTCGAATAGATTCGAGAGCATTATGAACAATTGAATTTCATTGAAAAATAGAGACTAACAGTGCTATGTCATGATCGATTATATTAGAGAAGGACGATGAAAGCTTATGACAAGAAGGTTCAACCTCATCATTTTTTAGAGAGTGAGTTGATTTTGAAAAGAATTCTCCCGAATCAATATGATAACAATGCAAGTGGATTTTGAATTAAAATGGGCTATATGTTATGAAAAAAGTTTTTTTTAATAGAACATTATTCCTAATGGAGATAGATAGAGATGATTCACCCAATTCCATAAATTTTGACGCTGTGAAAAAATACTTTACTTGAAATAAAAGAGAGAAAAAAAAAAAAAAAGAAAGAAAGACTCAAGTCAAAAACTCGAAAGGACATTTTAAGTAAAAAAAGGGCTCATCTAAGTTAAAAACCTGACAAGTTAGCTTAAATGATGAGGATACAACATCATTTGGGAATTAGCCAACATGAAGGTTAGCATATTATGATGAGCTTTAAAGTGTTAAGTGCATCAAGTGGTTGAGTTTTTGCAAAGAATTCAAAATATGTTGTCATGATTATCTATTTATTCATTTTGGAAGCTATTATCCCAAATGTCCATCTTTGTAATTTTTTCCTTTTTACATTGTGGTTACTAGAATTATTCTATCATTCTTTTCAAATAAAAAATATTCCATTTCATTCCTTACTCTTGTATTTCTAATGCTTATATCTTTTTTCTCTTAAATGCCTTGCAATGAATAGAAGAAATATGTGCTTGTATTTTACATCTTGAAATTGAAATAATGATTGATAAATGAATAATGGCATTAAAGATTTTTACATTACCTTTGGAAAGTTAAAAATAATAAAGACAAAAGATGAAATATTCAAGGCATGGTAAGGACACTGACTTTAGAAATGAAAAAGAAAGATTTCTTTAAAAGGAAAACATAGTTGCTACTATTGAATAAAAGAGATGATGAATGATTGGATTGGTTTTGTTCTCATTGCTCGAAATTTGAAAAGTTTCGAATCCAAAGAAAAGTGTCTTGAAAACCTATGTACCACAATTGATAATGTATTAATTGACATTTGCATTACATATATTTTTAAAGTTATGTGCCTTCATGTTGAATGAGCCTTTAATTTTTAAAGTCGTGTGCCTTCATATTGAAAATACCTTTAATTTTTAAAATCGTGTGCCTTTATGTTAAAGGAGCCCTTAATTTTTAAAGTTATGTGCCTTCCTTCATGTTGAAAGAGTCTTTAATTTTTAAAATTGTATGCTTTTGTGTTGAAAAAGACCTTAATTTTTAGTAGTTGTGTGCGTTTATATCAAAAACATTCCAAAAAAAAAAATAAAGAATAATTTGAGCCTAGACGTAATAGATTGTCTATGTTTTTGCACAATTTTTATTGCATAGAAAATGCATAAAAATGAACAACTATAAACACTTTATTTTAGTTGAGGTCCCAAACTAATTGGGCCTGGACTTACTCCAAGCCCAATTACTAGATTTTTGTTCTATGTATTATTTATTTATTTATTTATTTCATGTTTTTATTTTGTGTTTATTTATATATTTTTATCTTATTTATCGTATTTACTTATTTTTTATTTTTATTTTTATTTCTTTTATCTATTTTAAGTTTTATTATGGTTTATCTTAGATTTAATTTATCTCATTACTTGGTTATTTCAAAAAAAAAAATGAAAGAAAATTGTAAATGGTCGAAACTTAATTGAAGAAGGATTGACCAGTGATGAAGTTGGATTAAATTTTATCCTTAAATGATAATTCATGCTTTTAAACTTCAAAATTAATAAAGGATGTTTCTTGGAGATAAAACCCATCCTAACCCGGTGATAAGGTGGGATTTTGAAGAAATCAAATTCTAGTAGAACACTTATTAAACCAGAACAATGACCTATAAATAGGCCTTGTAAATCATAGCAAAGACACACAACATAGATAACAATTAGAGCAACAAAAAATTTTTGAGAGAAAAAAGAAAAAAAAAAGGTTTTTTTGGAAATTTATGAGTCATGAGCTTTTGATTTGGTCTAGTTAGTGTTTTGAAGGATTCCAGAGGCCCAAAAGGTTTTAATTTTTAAAAAAAAAAATTTATGGAAAATTTTGGAAGAAGTTTGAATTTTTCAATGGAAGTTTAAATTTTCTGACGAGATTTGTAGTTTTCAGTGACTTTTTTTATGACACTAGAATTTCTCAACAACTCCTTGAATTTATCGATGATGATTTCTAAAAACTATTGAGTTTTTTGGTGAACTTTTGTAGAAACTAATAGCTGGGAAACAGAAGGAGGAAAGAGAGAAGGTTCAGCAGAATTTTAAGAAAGAATAAAAAAATTTACCTTTTACATTACTCTAAAACAATGTCATTTTGAAATCCTTGACCCGAACAAGATCTGCATGTTATCCCAAAGTCTGACTTGACCCACAATGCATGACCCATTTTCCAGTAACCTTTGCTGAAGCTAAGCTAAGCCACTCCTTCAGTTGTTTGGTTTCTGCAATTGAGCCACAACTTAAGCTGAGTTGAGTCGTTCCCATTTTGGTAAATTTTTTTAAAAAATTTATTTCGTTTTATTTTATTTATTTAAATTTTGTTTATTTTAATTGTTTTTAATGGGAACTTTTTTATTTTATTTATTTATATTACTTGTGTAAATTTTATTTATTTTAATTGATATTTTAACAAAATTTAAAATAAATTCATAATTCCTATGAAACATTTGAGGATTTTTATAGGTTTAGAAATTTTGAATTATAAATTCTACTAAAATATTTGAGAATTTCATAATGAATATTTTTATGAAAAACGAATTTTCAATTCTACCAAATGATTGAAGGATTCAAATTTTGAATTAAGTACTAGCAAACAATTAGAGACTTAATGAATTTTTTGAAAAAATAAATTTTCAATCTTATCAAATTATTAAAAAATTTAAATATCGAGTTAAATCTTAAAAAACTATTGCAAGATTTAATGACTCTTTTTAAAATTTCGTGGAAAGGTTTTCAAATGAAAATCTCACCAAACTATTGGGAGATATGTATCGAAATAAAATCCTATCAAATTATTGAAGAATTTTATTAATTATTTTTAAATTATTAATTTTTTGAAAAATACATTAATAAATCTGATGAAACCTTTTCAAGTGAGAAAATTGCCTTAAATTACTACTAAACGGTTGGAGTAATTTTAGAATCGATTTACAACAATTAAATTATTAGGTAAATAACTAACATGTTTTAAAGTTTAGATAAAACGAAATCAAACTGATACTATCTTTTAGATAAGTGTTGTGAATGTGCTATAACATTTCTTACATATAACTGTATTCTTGAACCTAGATATGATGTTGTGGATTAGAATCTATCTTTTAAAGATATTTGAGTTTAGTTTAGGACTTCTCTTTAACAGTTCAGTTAGGTGGCCAATCACACCTAAACAAAAAAAAATTTGTGACAACTCTCTAAGTCTATCTAACGATAGATCTATAGATCTTTTCATTATGACAATATATAAAATTATAAATTTTTAAAATCTGATCCAAATTCGAACTAAATTTTTATACGATCCAATCCAAATAGAATTTCACCAAATCGGTTCAATTCATCAATTTTTTAAATTTAACTTTTTTAAATTTTTTATATATTATTTTAATATAATTTTTAATATATTGAAATAGATTTAGGTATAAAATAATTATTTTTATCTTATAAAATTTTAAATATATATAAGCTAATAAAAATATATAATTTGATTCAATTTTTTTTCATATTTTAATCCAAAATTTAATCTAAACTTAATATATACCTTTAATATCATCACCAAACAAAAACAAATCAATCCAAAACTAAATCAAATATTCAATTTTCTTACCCCAAATGCGGTTAAGGTTTTATATATCATTGAGTTCCTAATTTTTTGTCAACTAACTTGTCTTTCAAACTCCAGTCGGCCCAAATCCCATCTCTGCAAAACTCAACCCAACCCAACTCATTAATCCACGCACCCAAATGCCCGTACACCTATAACGGCTAGAAAATTCCAAAACAAGGTGCTTGATAGCCGTTAGATTCGAATTCAATCAAACGGTCAAAATTCGATTTCAGAAATTGGACCGTTGGGGAGAAGCGTGCCTTCCTTTTCACGTTGCTTCAAAAGGAAATTCGACTATTGAAAAAGGCAATTAACAACTCATTCTCATTAACAAAGGCAAATCCATTCAAAAACTGAAAAACAAGAAAGAAAAATAGCAGAAACCAAGAACTTTTGCATTAAGGAAAAGAGTTAGAGGGTGGCGACTAGTAACCTAGAAGGGGAGACGCGTGGAAGCCGTCTCCAGGTGTTCCTTTCATCTTTGTTAGCCAGCATTGGTGGAGTTTTAGGCCAGGCTGTAGAAAAAGAAGAAGAACCGGATATGGCGCCTAGAGCAGTTGTTCCTCAGCATGAAAACAATGGTTTTTTTTTTTTTTTCTGTCTCTTGATTCTTTCTGGGTTTTGATATTTGCGTTCATTTCTGTTGAATTTTGAGATTTTTTTCACTGATCATAGGATCCTTGGAGGGGTTTTTCTTATTTGCTAGTTCTGTTGTTTGATTTTGATTCTATTTCTTTTCCTTTCTGGGGATATTTTGTTAAATCAGCTTCAGGATTTGGACTGGTTCTTTAATTCACTAGTATTCGTTTTTATTTTGAATGACATTCTGAGGCTTCTGTAGTTTGATTTGCTGACTTCCTTTTGTTAAACGTAGAATTGTTTGGTTAGTTTCTTTAAGCTCTATTTGGTTCATGGAAACTTTGAAGGGAAAGAAAATATCAAAGAAAATCAAGAAAAAAAGGAAAGAATTCTTGTTTGGTGATGCATGGAATAGGAAGGAAAAAAAATATATATATATATATATTTATGTTGATTTCTTATCTGAAACATAAGAAAAAGAATACTTCTACAAACATAAAATCAGAAATAAGATTTATTGGGAAAATTATTCATTGTTCATTGTTTTGATATGTTCTATATTATTCTTGACTTTTGGGGTTTTTCTTTTTTCAGGAGAAGTGAAGCAGAAAAATGTAGTAGTAGATGGAAGGAATCGAAGAGTTCTTCAAGACATTGGCAATTTTGTCAATGAACGAGCAGCACAAGGAAAGGTAGTTCCATAAACATTAAATTTTCCTTTTCCTTCTCCTCACTTTTAGTCATAGATACTCATAGTTGCAAATAGTACCAATCATTAATTGCTCTTGGTTTGCTTGTAGAAACCAATTACTGAAGGAGTTGTTGCTGTTGCACAACCTGTGAAAGGAGGTGGTGTCACAAAGGGGGTAGCAGCCCAAAGGAAGGCAGTTGACAAGGTTGACAAACCAAAACCTGAGTCTGTGATTGTGATAAGTTCTGATGAAAAAACTGAGAAAAGTAGACATGTTAGCAGAAGCGAAGGATCTTCCAAGAAGGAAGTCAAAACCCTCACTTCAATCCTCTCTGCTCGGAGCAAGGTTATATATCAAGTGAAAGAATTGACTGCTTTTTTGTTTTTTCGTGTTGTTTACTGTTTGTGGATTGAATTGATTTCACTTCAGGCTGCTTGTGGACTTACCAATAAGCTTAATGATTTGATTGAGGACGTTGATGGAGCTGATGCTGATAATGAGTTGGCTGTTACTGAATATGTGGATGATATCTACAAGTTCTACAAGCTCACAGAAGTAATAATCTTTCACTTTTAATTGTGATTTTTTTCCTCTATATATTTCATATGCTAACGTCACAAGTCTTCTGATGCAGGACGATGGTCGAGTACGTGACTATATGGATTTGCAGCCAGATATCAATGCCAAGATGAGATCAATCCTGGTTGACTGGTTGATTGAAGTCCATCGCAAATTCGACCTTATGCCAGAAACACTCTATCTTACCATTAACATTGTTGATCGATTCCTTTCAGTGAAGGTTGTACCTAGAAAGGAACTGCAATTAGTAGGCATTAGTGCAATGCTAATAGCATGCAAGTATGAAGAGATTTGGGCACCAGAGGTACTTTTTGTGTGCATTTTATAATTTGGTTTTGCTTCTGCTGATATTGCTGCTTCTCTTACTTTGTCTTCTGGTTTTCAATTTTACAGGTCAATGACTTCGTTTTCATATCAGACAATGCTTATGCTAGAGAGCAGGTCTTGGTCATGGAGAAATCAATCTTGGATAAGTTAGAATGGTACCTAACAGTTCCTACTCCATATGTCTTCCTCATCCGGTTCATCAAAGCCTCTATTCCATCTGATGAAAAGGTAAAATTTTATCTAACAGCTCGTCCCTTCAGAATTTTTTAAGTACAGTTTGGTTCATTTTGGGTGATAATGCATGCAGATGAAGGATTTGGTGTTTTTCCTTGCTGAGCTTGGTCTGATGCAATACCCAACTGTAGTTTTGTACTGTCCTTCTATGTTAGCTGCTGCTGCGGTATATGCTGCGAAATGCACCCTTGACAAGAGCCCTCTTTGGAGTGAAACTCTGAAGCACCACACAGGCTACTCTGAAGACCAGCTAATGTAATCCCTCTTCCATTTTTCCTTTCTTTTACTTTTCCAATTTTGATCAAAAAATTGATAAGTTCTTTTCTGATGTGTAACAGGAATTGTGCAAAACTGTTGGTCAAATTACACTCCAAAGCTGCAGAAAGTAAACTCAAGGCAGTATACCGGAAATTCTCTAGTCCAGATCGCAGTGCCGTGGCTCTTCTTTCACCCGCAAAAAGCCTTTTACCAATACATGATGCAGAGATATTCTGACTACAAGATTATAGTTGAATGCTTTTGTGTTCCTTGATCTTTTCGATAGGGGTGATCATGTTTCTGTTATGATCTGCTATCTGTACATTTTGTTCTTTGAAGTAGGATTTGACTGTTACTAGGAATTTAATATGTGACCAAGTGTGATGTTTTGCAAATGTTGATGCTTAGCCGCATTTTGCTTCTAATCTCTTTCAAACTAAATTGTTATTGTTGATGAGACATATATTATTACATTTCTCATTACTTGGCCTTTTGTTATTTCTCATATTACATATATTTTGCACCGACGAGTTGATCCTCATTTTTTTATCAGAAGGGTGTTGTTGAGAACACTGATTATTTGCCCTGATGGATTCAGGAAATTGTTTTTAGTGAACTAGAATATATGAAATTTTTTCGCACAATTTCCGCTCCATTTTTAAATCTCCTCTGAACTCACGGCATCAAATCTTACAAAATATTGAGGCCAAGGGAGAAATGGAAAAAAGCAGGATAATAAGACTTACTGAAACAATCTGTAAGATATGCACTGTTATGCAGTTTATACTTTTCAAGGTTCACTGTGGCATGTGAACACCTCTCATCTCAAGCTGAATGCTAATATGTATTGTCATCGTCTTCAGTGCCAGACGTAGAGGCTATCAGAATTTGGACCAATTACTTCAAAATTTTACCATTTTTACATGTAGAAGTAGAACCATATATCTTAAATGAACCCTTTAAAATACTTTTTCCTCGCTCCCTCACAGAAAAGACAATCACGTCATTCAGTTTTTGTGAATCAGGCGAAAACTTGGTTGGAAAGCGAATTGTGGTATTGGCTGACAGGGAAAGAGTTTTCGTAAGACTTTGTTTACGGTGGGGTAATAGAATAGTTTCTTGGAAAAAGATATACGGGGCTTTCGTTAGTCTTGAGCATTTATTTCATTGCATGATCTTTTTCGCATTATTTGTATCATCTCTCTCAAAATTTCCATTTTTATTCCGTTTTTATGAATTCCTCAAAAGTTATAATGTCAACAAAAATTGTTTGCGGCGTTTACAATCTTCATTTCTGTTTGTACTAATTTTGGATTGGGGAAAGAGCTCGGAGATAAACTTTGACACGTCAAATATTGGTATGGAGCTCCGACTTGAAGGTTTTTGAAGGTATTCGTGTGTATGCAAAAGAAAATGAAAGTTAAAGATAAAGGTCAAGACAAAGGATATTCTTTACGTTTGCATTCCGATATGTAAGTCAATAAAATTAGGTCGATCAAAGAGTAAAAAAGCAAGAAGGAGAGAAAGATGAATTGAATAAACCTTTCTTCTTGGTAATTGAGTCTCTCTATTTATAAGTAAGCTGACGGGATCATAAAGGATAATTAGAACAAGACTAAATTAAGGTGACACGACAATCTCAGGTCAAGTTAGCACAAATGATAAAGATATCTCTGATTGTCTGTTGAAAACTTTGAAAGAAAAAACAATCACTATATCCTTTTAAACATCAAATACCCTTAACAATATCATAAGAAGATACTGTGATAAACAATACTCTAGTTTCTTTCTCCATGAGAGATGGTTAGAGTTGGACAACAACTTTATATATCTTAGAATTCTCCTTTTCATGTTATGCAAAGATAAATGATTTGAAACCAAATCAATAATATATTTGCATTGGATGATGAATGTTATCAACTTCTTCAATGAATGAATGCAGATTCTGTTCAACTAGACTATGATAATGAGTGCAGATATTTTCTTAAATCAAACAACACTTTAGATTTCTTTCCTTTTTTATGCACTTATATTTTACCATTTTTTTATTGTGCCTTTGACTCCTGGAATGTTTGAACATAATATGGACCAAAGCTATACACTGTTCTGTATTTTTTGCCATTGATGCTCCCTTGAGTAGCAACTTCCACTACCATTCCTTCTCGTTTGTTCAAAATTAGGTTGTCTTAGAATTTTTTTACAGTAGAGTTATTTTTGAATTTTTATTATCACAATTTTATAATTAAATGTTATATTATTATATGCTTTTGCTATAAAAGATTTTGAAACCATCTCCATCCTTTGGTGAGCATAAGTTTTATTGTGAGGTGAGTTGATAGAGTTATTAATTGGACTTAAATTAGCAAAATAATATGGTAAAAGATTAAATTTTTATGAATTATATTAAAATAATTAAATCTAAATTTTTATGAATATATAGACTAATTACATATTTTGATCTATTTTCATTAGTAATTCATTAGTAATTGAAAATTTTTTTATTAAATTTTAAAACATCAATTACTTAACATATTTTTTTGATACATATATTATAATATTAATATTTATTTTTATATAATATAAATTACGTAATATCTAAAAGAGAAATGATGTATATTATATAATTGAAAGATTAAATTCGGACTTTGAAAGTTAAAGTTAAAGGTCTAGCATCAAAATCAAAGGGATCGAAAGAAAAAAAAAGAATGGAGTTTGAAAACCTTTTCTATGTATTTCGTTTTTGGAGACGGTAAGACAGAAAATAAATAAAATTACAGATATCACAAGGAAAGAAGAAAGAAAGGCACCAGCGCCAGAGAGCAATCCAAAGGCCAAAAGCTTTTGTGTTTTCCATTGGAATTAAGACACTGAAACCCAAGAAGTCAGGACAGAGGTAGATGGTATGGGATATAAAACATTTCTGGTTCTATTTTGGCGCGTGCAATTACCTACATGTACAGATTGTAAAGACAAGGCTTATATCAGGGGAACTGGAACTGCCACCATCACAAGCCAAAATCATATCAACTCTTACCTGCCTGCAGGTATTCTCAAACTTGGTTTTGCTCCTTCAGTTATACTGGAATTTATGAAAAAACTGCTCAGTAATTGTTTCTTTGAGTATTGGTTTTGTTTATCGTTTGTTTATAAAAGTCGGTTACAGGACAAGGCATAGAGATGGGAATGAGTAAAACAGAATTGAATTTTCGAAGGTTACTTGCAACTGCACCCCAACAACAAAATCATTCTAAACTCATACATGTATGTCCGCTCATGTTTCAACTCTTATTGTTAATTATATTCTCTGGAGATGGTTTAGCTTCCTTGTCTTTCACGGACTGCTGACTGGTTTTCTTCCTGAGAGTTTTTATTTTCCTTTGAATTTTGTTTTCCTTTTATATGATTTTTTTTTCCCTTTTAAATATGCGAATGATGTAAAGAATTCAACTTTCCTTTTCCTTTGCAGTGTGTTGCTACTTTATGAGAACTATTAGAACAGTTAGCTGAAGAGAGAACACCAGAAGGTTTACCAAGGTTCATTTTTCTTCCCTTATTATGCTTTAATTTGATTGAGCTGCTTCGTGGTTTTAATTTGTTAGGATTACAATAATATAAGAGTTGCTTTTTCATAATTGATTCTTCTCTTATGTAACAGATTTAATTGCTTTGTTTCTGAGATAGCTTATTAACTTTTCAATTTTAATTTGCTTTTCTTCCCCAGAGTTTCAAGTGCTGTGGTCAATGATTATTCAAAGGAGATTGAGGATGTTGCTTCAGAATTAACAGCCACAGTGGTGTGTTTATATGATCTTTAAAGCTTATCTTATAATGATTCAAAGAGTAACCGGGATTTGTAAAGGAAAAATCCAAAAATACTAGTTCTGAAATTATAAATGTCGAAGAAATAAATTTTTTCTTCCATGGCTGCATCAGTCTGTATGCATTTTGCTTGTCTGCACATGCGTGCTTGTCCATGTGTGTCCACTGACTCTTGATTCTTATTTACAGAGGTTGTGATAGTTAACCATTCTTTTATAGGGCTAATTTCTAGCCCAATATTAAGGTATCCCAAGAGCCCGACAGAAGAAACTCTTTTAAACAGAGTCCTAAATCAGATTCAGAAAATCACATGCCTTCTTCTCCAGGATTAAGAAGGAGAGTTGTGTAAGTGAATCTTAAGGACTGAGGATGAGTATAATTCTTATTAGCTCTTGAAAAATGCTCTTTTTTTTTTTTTATCATAAGTTTTGTTTTGATTGCTTTGAGCAATTGAACAGGCCTACCTCAAGCATCGAAGATAGAACTCTTGGCACCATTGAGGCTGATACATCTACACCTATCAAACTGGATGCTGCAGCAGAAGCGCATATACAGAAGCACAGGTATCATTTGATATTGCTATTGCTTATTGATACTTAGAGTCAAAATAATGCTTTGTCCTAGATAGAGTTAACATTTTATTAAGAGCAAATTATGATATCTCCCTGCCAGAAGGAACTGCAATTATGATGAGTTCAGTAAATGGCTCATCTTGCAATTATACTTCATATGTCAAAGCTATGTCTTAATGGACGTACCCTGAATGATTATTAAGCTTGAAGGTATCTCCCTGTTTATCAGTTTACATTGCTGCTAATGGCTGTTAATTTTATTCTCCTCGAAAACAGAAAGCTTCAGGAGGATTTAACAGATGAGATGGTTGGGTTGGCAAGGCAACTTAAAGAGAGTAGTCTCATTATGAGCCAGTCATTGGAGAACACTGAAAAAGTAAATTTCACTTGTTTACTATTGAGTGTTCCATGGTTCCTTACACTGATAATCACTCTTGATAGGACATTGCATGTGTCAATTTTATATGTTTTGGAGAATATGGAAGCAGATAATTTTTTACTTATTATTTTGCTCATGTGTATGTCTTCATTTGTTTATAAATACTGTGAAACCTTGTGTGGTTTCTTACCGTGCATAATGCACATTGAGAGTTGATGCATTATGAGATTAGAGTCTAATTTCTCCTCTGAAGCAGTTAGAAGTAACCTCATTACTGGGTTTAAGTCTGGATTAGGTCACATTTTATAAATTTCTAATGAGTGGGATTACCTTAATTCAGCTTACAATGTAGGTACTTCTATGAAATAACTAGAATGGTGGCTAGGTTTTAAACGTATAAAAGGATGCTGTAATAGTATGTTATATTGTTTATATATTTCTTCTTGTGGTATCTCACCTACTCATTTATTATAGCTTCTTTGTTTTTGTTTTTTTTTTTTAGTGAAAATGGAAATGACATTATATTGAATTGATGTTTTCATATATAAGTCACCCATTGGATCTTGGTGTCTGACTCTAGACGATTTGATCAAGTCCTGATCCAAAAGCAGATTTTTGCCAAGTTTATGCATCTCTTTTATCCCTTTTGTTCAACTAACGGAGCATTTGGGATTTTGATGTTTTCCTGATGCAGCTCTGGGCATGTATACCTATTATATGTGTGAATGTGTGAGTGTTTGTGAGAATTATCTTGCTATCTTACTTTCCATGTTTTATATTACAACTGTTTGTTACTGGTCTAACAAACTGATTATGGCGTATTACAGATACTTGATTCCACAGAGATGGCTGTCGATCATAGTCTTGCTAGCACTGGACATGCTAATGTCTGTGCCATGATGATATATTCAGAAACTTCTAAGACTACATGTTTCCAATGGCTTCTGATCTTTGTCATGATATGTATTTTTATCATGGTTGTGCTCCTAATTCGCATGACATGAAATAGTTCTTGAGAATGAGGACAACTCACCTGGCCAATGATTCACCCCATGATTAGCTCCTGGTCATGTTTTATTAATGTGTTGCATTTAGGTTTGACTAGCTATCCGTTTGTAGAATTGAGGTTTAGTGGCGGTCACAGCTTTTGTATTTGTTGCTGATAACAATTAACAATTGATTATTGTTCAATTCTGTATATCCCCATTCATCTTCTCATCCTTGGTGAAATTAATGCCAGTCTTGGGTGCATTTATATGTGCCCAAGCCTCCCTGATACCATGTCAGTGGAGAATTCACTTTGAAAAAAATAGAAAGTGGGTCCAAATTATTCTCAAAGTTGGATATTACACTATAAGAATTGAACCATAATTTCTTGTGCACAATCCAGAAGTCCCAAAATACTCGTGATGCATCTTCTCTACATCAACTAAGAGATTATTAATCTCAATCAAATAGGATTAGCCCTTCATTATGTGCTGGAGCCTGACTTCTTACCTAACTTTTGCCTCCTAATTGTGCAAGTGAATTTCTGCAAAAAACAACAGAAAAACAGAGGCAAAAACTTAAAATATGAATGCAAATCACCAAGGCTGCCAGTAGCTGCAGTTTTGCAATCAAACATACAGTAAATGGTTTTGTTTAATTTTGAGACTGGTTCAATGAAATTTACTTACCACATCATATGGCAGATCTTCTCAATTGTCACAGATAGGCACAAACTTTAAAAGCTAACACAATGTGCAACAACATTAGATGGTATAGCCATGCAAATTTTCAATGAATTAGAACAGTTAAACGTCTTTCCTTGGGAAAAAAATTTGGTAAGAGTCTTAGAGATATGCTGGCTTAATAGTGGCTCCATCTCCAAGTGAAACAGCCCAAATCCAACATAATAGAGCCGCTGCTGAAATGAGAGGAAAAGAAGTAGAATCCCTGTGGGAGGAAGTGAGGGAGGTCAGCCTAGGAAACTCCGTGGACCGCCTCCACTCTCGACCCACCCCTATCCAGTTCCTCAGAGACTTTGTGTCCCAAAACAAACCCTGCATAATCTCCAACGCCATCTCTCACTGGCCAGGCCTTTCCCTTTGGCCCGCCCCTTCCTACCTCTCCACTGCCCTCTCCTCCTCTCTTGTCTCCCTCCATCTCACTCCCGATGGATATGCTGACGCCCTCGTCCCCCACCCTTTGCACCCTTCTCTCTGCTTCGTCTCAGCCCATGTCCAACCCACCCCTTTCCCTCAAGCCCTCAACCTCATCTGTCAGCCACCCAATCACTTGGTAGCATATTTGCAGCAGCAAAACGACTGCTTCAGGACTGAGTATCGGGAACTCGAGTCCGACTGCGATGGCCATATTCCATGGGCTTCTGAGGCCTTAGGTTGCCTTCCGGAGGCCGTCAATCTCTGGATTGGAAACCATCTGTCCCAGACTTCTTTCCATAAAGACCATTACGAGAATTTGTACGCCGTCGTCTCGGGGGAGAAGCATTTTTTGCTACTCCCACCTACTGACGTTCACCGGATGTATATTAGGGAATACCCAGCAGCTCGGTACTCATATTCCGAGGTTTTCTCCTTCCCGCTATTCTTGAAATTGGGTGATTAACATTACTCGTAGAAAAATTGGAAACCCTTTTTTTTTTTTAATTTGTATTTGAGAGTGTTGTTTTCTTGATTTACAGGAGAGTGGAGAGTTTCGTTTGGAGCTTGAAGAACCGGTGAGATACGTGCCATGGAGTAGTGTCAATCCTTACCCAGCAACGGGGAATGAGGAGCAGGAGAGGTCGAAATTTCCATTGTATTTTAATGGGCCTAAGCCATTTGAGGTTACCGTCAAGGCTGGAGAAGTTCTCTACTTGTAAGTTTTCTTTCTCTTCTTATGATCCTCTAATGTCTAACTGATGACTGTAGACTAATTTTCTCCAACAATTTGCACATCAATTGGAGTAATTCATATTCTAGTAAATGGTATGATCAGCCTCTCCTTATATTCCTCATTATCCATATGCATTGTGCATCAAAATTTGTTTCCACTTTCCCAATCTGAGTTTTATTGTGGATGGTGACAATTGCTTTTATATGCTTTTCATTTCTGCTGTCTGTATTACTGTTACATTCTAATTTTAAGACTATGTTTACCCAAATTGAATTGGATGACTACACAATTGAAACTTAAAATAAAGCTTGTATGGTTCTTGAGAATTGTGGTTTTCATATTAAGAAGAAAGTGGTTTTATATGGATCATAATTCTTGTGTTTCGGCGGGGTGGTGCAGGCCAAGTATGTGGTTTCATCATGTTAGACAGCGTCCGGGAGACGGAGGATACACGATTGCTGTAAATTACTGTAAGGATTAAATGTTTTCTTGTTGCCTTATTTGGTTTGATTTCTCATAAGAGAAATCGTGCAAGTTTTATTTGCAGGGTATGACATGCAATTTGATATCAAATATGCATACTTCAACTTCTTGCAATCACTTCCTTACCAATCAACTGATGATCCAACGATACCAGAGAGTGAATGTGAGGATTCAGGACCTTATGCATCTCCCAAACATTTAAACAGTAGATTCTACAGTGATGAATCTGAAACAAACAATGTGGAGGAGGTCAATAAAGACCATGGGAATGTATAAGTACTGACCTTTCATTCTTGATAGTAGGTTTGTGTGATTCTTTGAGGCAGGGAACTTGAGAAATCTCAGGGACCATGAGAACTGCTGCCTGCCGTCAACATGACCACAATTTTGATAGAGTCTCAAGAGAACTGCAGTGTGCTTCTGCTACCTGAAAATGATGGCAACATTAGAGAACCTTAGAAACTTTTTTGAGTTGGGCCTGATGTCCTCAACTGAACATATTCGTAGTCTGGTAGATGATGAAACTCACGTTCATATGGACGTGTAGCTATGGTTGGTATCAGCATGCAATTGTTCAGGGCATTTTACTCACAGAGAAACGTGTGAAGTTGCTTTGGATTTTGTTTATGTGAAACATTTTCGAGAATTGATTGGACATACCATATAATATATGTTATCAATATTTTACTTATTTTTCAGTTTTATGAATGACCTTTCTCTATGGAATGGATGGTTACGTTTTCTTCATGTATTCCTCTTTAGCTGTTTTTGGGAAGCAAGTTGGTATGCATATGCAAGAGGGAACTTTTAATTAGATCTAACAATTTGTGTATTTTTATTATATAAAATATTGATAATTTATGCATTTATATAATATTTTATATGAAAATTATGTGATATGATTTGTATTTATACAAAAAAATATAAATTTTTTTTATTTTTATTAAACTCATTTAAAATTTTAAATCAAATTTTATTAATGATTTTTTCGGTTATTATGTATCAAAACTGTCATATCTAATTTTAATAATCCTTAATAATTTGCAAACCTGCAAAAATATGAAATCTAAAGTTAATGCTCGTAACTGAGCTCAGGTAAATTGCTCTCTTCTCTGATAGTAGCGAAGCTGGCATCTCCTCTTCTTTGTTTCACAAATTCGATTTTTATATGGTAAAATCAGTAGGCTGTAAATTGTTTATTACCAGCTAAAGTATAATTAATTTTCTCAAACCCTTTTTATTTTTGCAATTTAATTGAATTTGGAAGGTGGCGTTTATGGTCAGCGAGTATTACGGTGCGCTGCAGCTTTTAAACCGTTGGATTTTAGTTTGAATTTGCTACATTACGTGGTAGTTTGTATTGGATCTGGTGACATTGATTTTGATGAATAATTATTATTATTATGATCGTGATTAAAAAATTTTAATAAAAAATTTATTAAATAAATTTTATTAAAATTAACATTTAAATTTAACTGTACTTTATTAGAAATGCTGTTCCATGCAAGCGACCACTGAATGAGAAACACAATTAGAGAGTTAGAAACTGATATAAGACAATCAGAGTAGAAACGCAGGATTTGCGGTAAAAGTATATATTAAATCAAATGGGTATAACATTGAAATAAAAAATAAAAAATTGTTTTTCTTTTTACATTTTAATTTATTATCATTTAAAAATACAAAAACAAAAAAACTAAGCTTAGAAAGATTTTTTTACATTTTAATTTTCTGTAATGTATTTATAATTAAACTGCAACTTCCTCTTTAGAAGATTTGGACTAGAGATTTTTCAATATTGATATATAATTTCAATCCCTCAAATATCTATACGCAGTTGTAGTATAGATATTTAGAACATGAAGAGTAGTGCTTGCTCTGTTTTATTCTTGTGATTTCCCTCATTTTACCGCAAGTGAGCTTTCTCATATTCACTTTCTAGTTGATTTTGAGTATAATTTTTTTTTAATTATAGTTATAATCAAATATTATATTTGTATAATCAACTATTACATTATTAAATAATTAACTAATAAACTATAACTTAATTAAATAATCAAACCCCCGTGCCCTAGAACTTAAACCTAGGTTTTTTTAAGGTTATATCATTCCGTAAGACTTGAATTTGAATATAATCTTAAAGTTAACCTATCATTAAATAAAACATATTATTTATAATTTTTTTATTATAATTTTGTAATTAGTTTATCATATCTAAAAATTATGCAGAAGTTCATTACTTAAAAATATAGACTTAAAATAATTTTTTTATGAACCATATCTAATATTAAATTTTAATTAATTAATTATATTACAATATTTACAAAAAAAAATTACATTATAGTAATTGTTTATACTCTCTCAATAGGTAAGTAACAAATAAATTGTTGATAGAGACTAAAAAATAGTAATAAATAATAATAAATACAAGAACACTTAAAAGCGATTAGTTTTAGGCTTTTTTTTTTCTTTAAATAATAGTTTTAGGTTTTTTTTTATAAAAATTTTAGGGGAGGAGATGTCGTTTTCTCATTTTAAAATCAAGAAAGATTGTAAAAAATTAAATCTGAATCTTATATAAAAAAAATTATCAAATTTTACTAATTCTATCAATTCGGTTAACTTAACCTCTCTTTAATAAACCTTTTTATAACTAACATATTTTTTTTAATAAATTACAAGTATAAGAGAAGTTATAATCATGATTAAATATTAATTAATTGAATAATTAATTATTATATCATAATTAAATTATAATTATTGAATGATAAACTAATAAATTAAAAACATAACTAAATAATCAAATTTACATACAATCAATTTTGAAATTAATACTTCACAATTTTAGAATTTCTTTTTTACCACTAAATCAAAGTTTTAACATGATAAAAACATTGAATTTGGACTCAAAATCAGAAATACTCCAAGATCCTACCATCATTTTTTTATTTATTTGGGCGAATATCCTAAATTTTTTATAACAATTTTCAATAGGGCATAGGACATCTCTGCCCATTTGCATGCCTTATGTCCAGGGATCAGTAAGTTCAATTTAGCTTTACTTTGGATAAATATTAATAAAGGAAAGGAAAAGAAATGAAAGAAAAAAAAAAAAAGAAAAGAAAGTTTTTTAAAGGAAAAAAATATATACATGTAACCCTTATTTAGATAATTAAAATTAATAAATGAAAGAAAAAGAAAGAAATTCTAACAACTATTATTTGAAAAAAAAAAAAAAAAAAAATGATTCATTATAATAATTTTTTTCAATTATAACATTTCATTGCTTGTGATTTCAGAGCACTCATATATTATGATATATTTGTTATCTTATCTGATATCACAATTACTATTATATCAATGATTTTTAATCAAGTGAAATTGAAAAATATTTTACAAACATGCATTGATAGATTTTGAATTAATCCGACATCTCATAAACCAAAAAAATATATCTATTTATATTCAATTATTCATCAAAATTAAATCATCAAAAAATTATAAAAAAATTTTATATTAAAAGAGATATATGAAACTTACTTTTAAAAAATTACAGAATAATTATGATCTGCTTAAATTTTTTTGATTAAATTTTTAATATTAATAAAAAAATTGAACATAATAATCTTTTTATAAAAAAATTTTTCAACTTTTTTTCTTTAACTTTTCCTCCAAATTAAAGTAATAAAAAAATTTAATTCACAAAAAAAAACAAAAAATTATTTGATTTCTACCTTTTTTTTTTCTTTAAATTACAAATTTATTCAAACAAAAGAATAAAAATTTTATTTCTTTTATATTCTTTTACCCTTTTTTTTTTTTGCCCTTTTCTTCTTCTCCCCTCGATACAAACTCACGGTTAGCGAATGTCGGATGTTGTTAAGGAACCCATCAAAAAATCTGAAGTGAAAAGACAAGCTACAGAAAAGTGTCTATGGGAAAATGACATGGGAAAAAGGTATTTACGAGAATTTCAGTTCTCTTTTCATCCGTCCAAATGAGAGTCCAAAAGGCGAAGAACTTGAGGAAAATTAAAGTTTCATTATGTTTTAATCTTTTTCCTTTTGCAAAGTACAACCCACATCCAATACATTAATATTACGTTTATTTTATTATTGTTTTATTATATCAAAAAAATAAAATTTTAATATAAATAAAAAAATATTTAACTCAAAATTAGATCTTTAATGTTTCTTCAATCACTTTTAACAGTTAAATTAAAAACTGAGTAACTACTTATGTTTTATTATTCTCTCATCGTTTTGTGCTCCATAAACAGACAACTTGCAGACAAGTTGACTTTATTGTTGGCCTCGATATTTAAGACAATTGACAACCCAAAGAATCAGAACCGTGAACTTGAACCGATATTAAAATATTTATAAAAAAAATGATATAATTTAAAATTTTAATAAAAATAATATATTAATTTAAAAAAATCAAAAAATATAATTTACATTTGACGTATCATAAAATAAATAGAAAACGATATGCCAAAATCTATTCAGCACTGTAAAAAGGGCTACAGTTTCATATGCAAACATAGATAATCGAGAAAGAAAGGTCTGTGAGTAGATGAGTGGTGAGGAAATGGAAGGGATAGAACACAAGATAGTGGCGGTGAATGGTATAAACATGCATGTAGCAGAAAAAGGGCAAGGCCCTTTGATTCTTTTCCTCCATGGCTTCCCCGAGCTATGGTACTCTTGGCGCCACCAGATCCTTGCTTTGTCTGCCCTTGGCTACCGAGCTGTGGCTCCTGACTTACGGGGCTACGGTGACACTGATGCCCCTGATTCAGTCACCAGCTATGCATGCTTCCATATAGTGGGGGATCTGATTGAGCTTCTGGAAACAGTTGCTCCTGACCAAGAGAAGGTGTTCGTGGTAGGACATGACTGGGGCGCTTACATGGCTTGGTATTTGTGTTTGTTTAGGCCAGACAAAGTGAAAGCTTTGTTGAACCTGAGTGTGCCTTATATTCAATCTAGTCGACAAATGAAGCCCATTGATGGCTGGAGAGCTTTCTATGGTGATGACTATTACATCTGCAGATTTCAGGTAAAATTTTGTCTGCTTCAAGCATTTTGTATCGCCTTTTTCTTTCAGTTCTTCATTGATTGAACAACTTATTAATTTTGTAACATTCTGGATTCAATTTTGAATACGAAATGTTGTTAGTAGGAAAGGATTTGTAACTGTTTCTTTGCCAATTTTAGTTATATCTCAAGAGTCTAAAAATGGGTTAATTTTGATCACAGGTGGCTATATTTGTGCTAGCGGTTAATTTATGCAAGGGTTAATTTGACCCTTAAATTTTATTATTTTTAATGATTTGATATCCAAATTTTATTTTCGTCAAATATTTTGTATCATTGCTGGCAAATATTGATCAATAAAAATGCTACAGTTTTTTATTATATTATTGATTGTTTTTCGGTCATATCAGTTTATTAGTAACAAAATTAATATGTGATGCAAAATATTTGACAAAAATAAAGTTTGAATATTTAATGTTAAATTTTTTTGTAAGTATTAAATCATGAAAAATAGTATAATTCAAGAGCTATTTCACACATTTACGCTTTATGCAACTAGATTTCACTTGAGAGAGCCTTAGCCCCCTTAACATGGCAGGAACCAGGAGTAATAGAGGCTGAGTTTGCTGAGATTCGTACAGAGAGAATTGTAAGGGAATTCCTAACATACCGAGTTCCAGGTCCAATATATTTAACCAAAGGGAAACTATTCGGACATTCAGCAGATACCCCAATTACGTTGCCTTCCTGGTTGTCAGAGGAGGAAGTTAATTACTATGTCACTAAATTTGACAAGAAAGGCTTTACCGGTGGAATCAACTATTACCGTAACTTTGACCGGTATGTTTCAATTCTTTCCAAGTTTTAATTCATTTATAGTAACGATCATTCATAACAGATAGATGCTTAAATCTCACATCTCACTTTTTTTTTTTTTTTATTTGAGATTATCAAAATTTAAACCATGAAACTAAGAGTTCAACACTAACAACAGTCATCGCCTTTTATGTGATGTTATAAGGTCTTCCTTTTCAGGATTGCATCATAAATCCTGTTTTCCCCGTTTGTTTTTTGTGACAGAAACTGGGAACTCATGGCACCATGGGATGGTTGTGAAATCAAAGTACCAGTTAAGTTCATTGTGGGCGATCAAGACCTTGTTTATCATATGCCTGGTGTCAAGGAATATATTGACAATGGTTGGTTCAAGAAAAATGTACCACTTTTGCAGGAAGTAGTTGTAATGGAAGGAGTCGGGCATTTCATCAACATGGAAAAAGCAGATGAGATTAACAATCACATTTATAACTTCTTCCGCCAGTTTGATCAACATTCAAAGTCTTGTTTATGACAGCCCCATTACCTTTAAGCTTTCGTATGATAAATTTGGCTGGGATAATAGCCTTAGTACTCATCCAAGCCTTCATCAGTAAGTTGTCATGCTTGTGGAATTAAATATTTTACTCGAACAATATTGCCTTCTACAATTTGATGGTGCAAGTCAGATACGTACAGGCATAGCTGAGTAGAATATGCAATGGAATGCTTGCATTTTTCTTTATTGTGTCCTAGCTATAATTTGTTTTTATTTAGCATTAGCAAGCAGGGAATAAATGGTGGAACAGTAATCTTCAGAGGAAAACTGAATTAACGAATGGCTTACATCAAATTGAAAACTTGACATTCACACATCGGTCAGTTATGCATAAACCATTCAGACAGCTCCAAAAATCCTCCATATGCAAGTCTGAATATGTTATATTAATACAAAAGGCAAACAAAAAACAATGCCTTGGTGTTGGGACAGGAGAATGGAAAAGGAAAAGGAAAAGGCAAACTAGGGAAAAAGAATGGTGGAAACCCAATACAGAATCAAACCCTATCGTTACGAACTTATGATACACGATAGATAATAAAACTCAACATAATTACAATTAGCAAAACAGAATCCTTAGGAGGTCTATTAGGTTCCTAAAGAAGCTCTGTCTTCGGGGCCAGCGAGCATGATCTGGCATTTTCAAAAATAAAAAATTCATTTAGCAGGGGGAAAAACAGCAAAAGGAAAGAACAGACTTCATACACATTGAGTGTACAAGCAGAATTTGGACAACCACTTACGTTGCAGTCAAAAGCAAATCTCCTAGCAAGCATAATGGCTGCATTTCTATCTCTCTCTGATTCAAATGCTAATACAACTGAAAGCCCTTTCTTTGCTTGCCAAAACAATGCCTGGGCGGCTGCATTTCCACCTCCTCTAACTCCACACAACTAAAATCACAAAGTATGAGAAACAAAACATAGTAAGCACATCGGATATCAATGTCAGAAATATCATGTTCCATATCAATTTATTAATTATTTGTACGGAAAAGTGGTTCTTAGAAGTATAAGAGAAAGCATTATCGACATGTTTGCAGGCAATTCTCATTCTATGCCTTTTTCCTCTTCCTCTTTCGGTGCCTAGTGTGTACAATTTCTTCTAAATAATAACATCCAAAAGAAAAGCCAAAAGCATGATGTGTAGGATATATATAGAACTATCCTCAACCCACAACATTTCTCTTTTTTCTCCTTTACCATTGGAGTAAACATCAAAGCATCTTTCATTGATGAGAAAATGTACGAGACTTAATACCTGCATTGAGCTGGAATAATACTCTTTAGCAATTGTTGTCTTTCCTTTACATAGCTTCATCCTCATCTTTCCGACATGTAGTACATGAATAGATTCTGATGGATGATCTGCACCATTCATTTGGGTAACAACTACCTATAAAATATAAAACAGTAATAACATAATATTAGAAGCCAAAATATAAGAAATAAGAGGTTAAAATCTATACAGAAGATATGAGAAACATTTCATTATCCATTCATTCAGGGAACAACTACCTACAAAATATACAAAATTTACAAGCAACAACAAGGAAATAAATAGTTAAATTTCCAGCAGATACAATTAACATTCTCATGTACCCAACTGCAACTCAAACCTGTGAAAAACTGATGGGATGAAAATAAGTAAATTAGCCATGTACAAAGCTTTAAAACCTTTCCAGTATGTCATTTTCTAAACCAAAACCAGATGTTGTAAGACACTGATGAAACAAGTGCTAGCAAGATTTTAGAGCCTATTTGGTCAATGAGGAACAGGGTCAACAACAAGCAAGTTCGGGTTTATTGGTAACCAACATCAAAGAATGATGCCAGACAGGAAGTTCCGCTTGATGCAGGAACTGCAAATTCAACACTATTTTTCTACAATTTTAAGGCTTTAAGGTCTGAGGGATTGTTTAGGCCCTTAGGGTTTAAAATTCTAGCAAGGATTAGGGAAGAAGTTTAGATCTTCAATGCTCTAATGAGCTGTAGCAACAGGAGAGACTCTTCAAAGAACAATGCAATATCTAGAACAAGAAATAAACGGAGAAGAGATCATTTCTCTAGGGAACCACTGTTAACAAGATAGTGTGAGAAAACACTTATTTACAACTGGTTGTAATCTTGTAATCTGTATATTTATATTTGTATCTCTAGAATTAAGTATTTGTATCCCTAAAATTAGGATAGACAATCTCTCAATTATAAGATTAGTTTTTTAGGAAGATTTAGTTTCCTAGTTTAACCCCTAGTTAGTTGTATATAAACCTAAGATTCTTGTATAATTCTCAATAAGCAGTTTTTCAATATACATTCAGTTTCCACACTGATTTATTTCTTAGTTTTTTCACATGGTATCAGAGCTTTAGGCTCTTCTTGGGAAGCAAAATTTTCAGCCTTCATTGTTGACTTCTATTTTAGGCCTTCATTGTCGAATCCTATTTAGGCCTTCATTGCCGAACCCTTTCAAAGAAAGATATCACTACCACCCAATTTGAGGAAATGTCAACTGAAAAAATCACTGGAATACTACAAATATCTTAGAAACAAGGAAAGTTCAACAGGGAAGAGATTGAAAAACAGAAAAACTTATTGAAAATCCTTGAAAAGCCTACTGTGGTATGTTATTTGGGTAAGGTTTCTAGTTCAAGTAAAGCTTCTGGTTCTCATGGATTAAATGTCTCAGCTAAGCCTATTACGAGTTCTTGGGTCATTGACTCAAGAGTCACAGACCATATGACATATTCCTCACAAAAGTTTAGTACAAATAACCTGTGTCCTAGTAATAAGAAAATTGTTGTTGCAAATGGTTCACTTACTACAGTGGCAGGATTAGGAGATGTTCAAGTTAGCCCTCGTTTGTTCTCAAAAATGTTCTTCATGTTCCTGGATTGTCTACTAATCTAATATCTATACAAAAACTTACCAGAGATATGAATTGCAAAGTAACTTTTTATCCCTCTTATTATGAATTTCATGACCAGAGTTTGGGGAAGATGATTGGACTTGCTAAGGAGAAGGATGGACTATACTATCTTGAGACATCAAATAATACATGTAATATCAAGAATAGTTTACCTTTGTCATTTCTTTTTGAAAAATCTTCCAATAAAGACAAAATCTGGCTTTATCATTTTCGTCTTGGACATCCTTCGTTTGGAACTTTGAGAAACATGTTTCCTTTTTTGTTCAAAGGATTAAATGTCGAAGATTTTCATTGTGATATTTGCGAACTTACAAAGCATAGACGTGTGTCTTTTCCAATCAGTAACAAAAGAAGTTCTACTCCCTTTTACTTGATTCATAGTGACATTTGGGGTCCTTCTACAATTCCTAATATTTCTGGTGCGAGATGGTTTGTTTCATTCATAGATGATTGTACCAGGGTCTCTTGGGTTTTTTTACTTAAATCCAAATCAGATGTGAATAGTGTGTTTTTAAGCTTCCAAAACATGATCCAAAATCAATTTGGAGTGAGAATCAAGAGATTTAGGTCTGATAATGCAAGAGACTACTTCAACCAGAGTCTATCCACCTATTTCCAAAAAGAAAGGATTATCCATGAGTCATCTTGTGTTAATACTCCACAGCAGAATGGAGTGGTAGAGAGGAAAAACAGCCATTTACTAGCCACAACCCGAGCCTTTCTTTTTCAAGCAAATGTACCTAAATTTTACTGAGGGGAAGCTATTCTCACTACCACACATATTATAAATAGGTTAACTTTAAGAGTTTTGGGATTTAAAACTCCTATGGAACTACTCTCACAATTTTATCCCAACCTCAATACCACAAACAATCTCACACCTAGGATATTTGGTTGTACATCATTTGTTCATGTTCACAGTCATAACAGGGGAAAATTGGATCCAAGAGCGATTAAGTGTATTTTTATGGGGTATTCTTCAACTCAAAAAGGATACAAATGCTATCATCCTCCTACCAAAAAATTCTGTGTTTGCAGATGTCACTTTTGAAGAAAATAAACCATTTTTTACTCAACCTTATCTTCAGGGGGAGACTTCATTCATGGAAGATAAGGATAAAGACTTCTTTTTGCTTGATTTGCCCCTTTCTTCAACATTTACACCCATTAATTCTTCTAAGTCGAAACCTGTTTCTATTGAATCCAAGTCAAACACTGAATTTGAGTCTGAACCCATTCCAAATACGGAAGATGTGACAAAGGATAATATTGTTCTTGATTCTATGAAGGAATTACAGGTGTACTCAAGAAGGAAAGTTCCAAATCCTGAACCAGTGCCAGTCCAAGAACCTGATCCTAATTTTGGAAATGAGGTAACTACAATTTTTTATTCTGTTTCTCAAAATGAGCATGAATCTCCTAAAACTATAACTAGTGATTATGATCTGCCTATTGCCATTAGAAAAGGAACCAGAGAATGTACCAAGCATCCACTATACCCAATCTCTAATTTTATGTCATTTGAAAAATTCTCACCATCCCACAAAAATTTTCTTGTGAGCCTAAACACTATTTCTGTTCCTACTACATTATTCGAGGCATTATCCAATGAGAAATGGAGGCAAGCCATGAAAATAGAAATGGGGAAGCCTTAGAGAAAAATCAGACATGGGAACTGGTAGAGTTGCCTAAAGGAAAAAATCAAGTAGGGTGTAAATGAGTTTTTCCTGTAAAATACAAGGCAGATGGTACTGTTGAAAGGTATAAAGCCAGGTTAGTGACTAAGGGCTACACTCAAACCTATGGAGTGGATTACCAGGAAACCTTTGCTCCAGTTGCCAAGATAAATACAGTTAGGATTTTGTTATCATTGGCTGCAAATTACAATTGGCAGCTTCAACAATTTGATGTAAAGAATGCTTTTCTACATAGTGATTTGGAAGAAGAAATATATATGAAGGTTCCACCGGGATTTGGAGGTCATCTAGAAGCAAACAAAGTTTGCAGGCTGAAAAAAGCTTTATATGGCCTTAAACAGTCTCCTAGAGCTTGGTTCGGGAGATTTGCCAAAGTGATGCTAGCAATGAGATATAAACAGAGTGAAGGAGATCACACATTGTTTATCAAGCACTCTGATTCAGGGAGAGTCACAGTTCTATTAGTGTAGATGATATAATTCT